AGACATAGACAAGTCCCAAGAGCCTTTTCTTCCATACCCGAGAAAATTAATTATAAAAATATATATCGGAGAATTTGTTAATTACACTATCAAATTATTAAACACTTCCCTCCCACTGATAACGGACTTATAGATATATATGCCTTTCAGTAAAACTTAATTAACGAACAGGTACAAAGGCAAGTTCACATGAAGCAATCAAATCGAAATTGACACTTCACGAGCACAGGTAACATGCGCAAACACACACACGTACGTTTAACAATGACGGTAGCGTTGACTATCGTTGCCTCGCCGATCTCGTTCTTGGAGAAGCACGCAAATACGCCGGTGTCCTCTTTGGTCACGTTCGAAATCGTCATCTCGGCGATGTTCTGGGAGAAACGGGGGAAAGGGTCTTAGGCATTTACATTTTTAGATTAAGGTCATGAGATGAAATCAGGATGTCGTTTATATATATATATGTATGTATATATATATATATATATATATATATATATATATATATATATATATATATATATATATATGTATGTATATATATATATATATATATATATATATATATATATATATATATATATATATATATATATATAATCATCTATATCATTATCATTAATATTGTCATCATTATTATTACAATTATTAGTAGTAGTAGTATCATTTTTATCATTATAATTATCATTAACAATACTATTATTTGCATTATTGTTCCTCTTATCAACATCATTATCAGTATTATCGTGTCATAAATAATAATAGTAGTAATGATAATAATGATTATTATCACCACCACCATCCTCATCTCCCTCCTCCCGCTCCCCATCATCACCAACACAACTCATCCTCGTCGCCATCACCATCGTCATCTCCCTCCTCCTCCTCCTCCTCCTCCTCCTCCCCTTCATCACCAACAAAACTCACCCTCGTCGCGTGCTTCTTCGTCTTCGTTCTCTCGAAGTTGTATCCCTCTCTCCTCCACTCAATGTCGGGGCTCGGCACGGCGTCCACGTGGCACACCAACGTTACGGAGTCGCCCTCGGAAACGTTGCTGCTTCCTGTGACTTCAGTGATGATCGGAGCGTCTGTGGGATACGAAGTCATTTTTGTAAGATTTTATGTGTCTATCTTTTATTCTTGGTTTATTCTTGTTTTGTCTTCTTTTAGTGTTGTTGTTGTTACATCTGTCATTATTATTATTATTTTTATTAGTGGAAGTATTAGTGCTGACATTGTTATTATTATTATTATTATTATTATTACTATTATAATTATTATTACCATTATTATTATTATGATAATAATAATAATCACAATTATTATTATTATTACTATCATCATTATTATTATCATTGTCATTATTGTTATTATCATTACTATTGTCATTACTATTATCATTATTATAATCATTATTACTGTATTATTACTGTTATTATTTTTATCATTATCATCGTTATCACTCTTATTAATATAACCATCATAGTTATGACCATTTATCATCATCATAATTTCTATCACTATTTGGATCATTATCATTATTACTATTATTGTTTTTTATTATCAACATAATTATCATTATTTTTATTGTTACTTCATTGATACCATCACTATTATAGTTATCACCATCTATTCCTTTCCCTTTCCTTTTACCCTTTCCCCACAGGAGCCGAAATAAAAGCCTCCGAGCACGAAATTCCAATCAGGCAACATTAAAACCACTCACACTTGACGTTAATCGACACGTTCCTGAAGATGTTGCCTTCGGAGTTGGAAACGTCGAGCGAATAAACGCCCGCCTGGTCTCTCGTGATGCTCGAGATGTTGAGGATGTTGTCCGCCATGACCACCTCCTCGCCACGTCGCCACAGGTACGTCAGGCTGTTGGGATTCCCGCGGGCGCTGGCGTTGAGCATGACGTTTTCGCCCTCCTTGACGTCTAGGGCCTTGGGGGGTTCCTTCACCCACACGGGGGAGTCTGGGGGTGGGAGGGGGAGGGGTCAGTGGAGTGGGAGAAGGAAGGAGGGACAAAGAGTGGATGGGGGAGGGTGGGAGGGGAAGAGTGGGGAAGGGTGAGATGGGGGAAAGGGGGAGGGGAGGAGGTTTAGGAGGGAGGGTGGGCGAGGGGAAGGGTGGGGGAAGGGTGAAAGGGAATGAGATAGAGAGAAGAAAGGAGAAAGAAAAGTGGAGAAGGGACCGGGGTGTGGGTAAGAAGGAAGGGAAGGGAAGGGAGGGCGAAGAGGGAGATGGAAAAAGGAAGGGGGAGAGCGTAAAGGGCAAGACAGAGACGTAAGAGGAGTACGGAAAGAAGGAAAAGGGAGAAAGTAAGAGAGCAGGGAAAGTTAGCCAAAAGAGAGAAGAGAAGAGATAGAAAAAGTTAGAGCAAGGTTCAAGTTTTTATTGGTTTGTGATCCGCGTGATGTAGAATTTGTGATTATTTCATTACATACAAAAAATAGAAAGAAAATAAAAACACACTTATATACATATATGTGTGTGTTTATATATATATATATATATATATATATATATATATATATATATATATATATATATATATATATATATATATATGCATATATATACACACAAAAGAGCGACAGCGCACCATGGAAATGAAAAGCGAACAACTAAAACAAAGACACTGAACACACAAAGAGTTTAAAGAATCTATAAATAGAATGCCTTTAAGTACAGCCTCCCAGAAGTCTTACAATGAACGGAGATGGTAACTGCATCGTGAGTTGTTGAACCGAAGCCGTTGTCTGCCTGGCATGTGTAGACAGCCCCGTCGTCGTCGGCTGTTACTTCGACCCTCACGCTGTAGCTGTTTAGAGAGGAAAGAGCGAACGGGATGTGTAAGCACAAAACGAAGAATAAACAAGAAAATACTAAAAGATAAAGCAAGAAAATTATTTAAAAAACGTAATCATATACTTTGATATAATACTTGAAATTAAGCAATACGGGCAGCACATACTAGTACACACAAGCACATACAAAAACACACACAGGCAAACACACTCCCTTCCTCCCCACGCATACACACACACACAAACACCCTCCCCTCCGCCCACACAATAAAAAACACAATCCCTCCCTCTCCCTTACCCCCACACCCCCTTTACCCCCCACACTAAGAAAATAACACCCCCATTCCTTTCCTTTACAACCCTAGGAAGACCGAGGCCCCTCACTCACTTGGTCACAGTGCCGCCAAACTGCCCCGGCTTCGTTTCCACGCTGTAGTCTCCGTCCACCTCGAACCCATCTCTCCACCACGTGATGTTGGCGTAAGGGTTGCTCGAGGCTGACTCACAGAACAGCGTCATCGGACTCCCTGCGTTGATTACTCGAGGGTGAGCTCTGACCTTGACCGCAGAGGGAGGAACTGGAAGGAAACGGGATAAAACACATGGGGTGAGGAAGTTTGGTGCAGTGCTTAATGGGAGATTAGTTGGTCATTCGTTTATGGGTATGTTTGTCTATTTGTTTGATGCATGTATATGTGGGTGTATGTATGTGTGTATGTATGTATATACGTTTGTATTCATGTTTATATGTATCCATATATTATCTATCTTTGTATCTGTCTGTCTATCTATATATTTCTGTCTATTATCTGTCTATCATCAATATTCCATTGCAAAGTTTTTGTTTTATGTGCGAACATATAGGTATTCGCATTCGCATTCAGTGCCTTCTTCTGACAATTCCGTATTCAATTCAATTACACTGAAAACAACATTTTAAACCTCGCCTCTTTAACACGTATTTTAAACCTCATTACGTCATTAAGCAGAAGTGAGGTCTCTCTCAACAACTGAGCTCTTGCAGTCGACTACACGATTACGTTCTAACTCTTCCATCATTAACCCGTATTACATCGCTCTACATATACACTGAATCTATATTTGCTGAACGAAAATAGAACATTCATTTCGAAACACTCACATACAGGAAGAAAGCAAACCAAAGTGTGAATATGTTTGAGCTTAAGTACTACATTTATACATTTCACGCTGATTATTTATTCAATACCTCGAGGGGGGGGGGGAGTCCAACGTCAGGACAGTTTTAATCTCTTTATCGTAAAACATGCACCGAATATGACTGACTGTTTAAGGATTATAACTATTGGTAAATTTGCATATGAGTTTTTGTCGACATTAAATGATCTGTCAATTGTAATCGGATGAAAAAAAGATACAAATTGTTCACAAATTATTTGGAAGAAGTGTTAGGTATGTACTCGGATGTCGCTTTTTTTCCACAAGAGACATTGCTGCTGATTATCATTTTTATATAATGAACTTCGCATGATATACAGACGTGGGTGGAATTGATAATACTGTCAATAAGCATAAAGTACACAGGTTGATTATTGATAGATATTTACGACGCAATGGGAAATAAGAAAGCAGTTGATAACACTTGAGAACTGACCATAGATGAAAAACAACAACAACAAAAAAGAAAAGAAAAAAATGATAACGTAAAGGGGAGGATGACCGCTGAACATCTAATGCACGGCCAGAGATAAGGGCGGAAGAGACTAATCACACCAGCTAATTAAACCTAATCAAAGCACTAATTACTCACACATGACACTCAGCACGGTCGAGTTGGCCAGCGGGTGCGCCGTGGCCTCGTTAGTGGCTTCGCAGCGATACTCGGCCCCGTTATCTGACTCGTCGAGGAGGATGTCGACGTCGGCCAGCGCTGTGACGGCGTCGTGGTGCGTCTCCGAGGGCAGCTTCTGGGAGCCCTTGTACCAGGTGAGCGTCGCCAGGGGGTTGCCGCCGTTGCTGACGCAGGTGAGGCGCTGGCGATCTCCCTTCCGGAGTTCTTGGCCGCGCTCGTAGCCCAGGATGACGGGCGTCTCGGGGGGACCTGGTTAGGAGGAGGGAGAGAGGGGCGAGGGGGGCGGTTAAAGGGGCATGTTTCGTTGTGGAATTTTTATGGAAAGAAAAAGGGGAGGACACGGTTGTAGAATTATATTAATGATGTTTGTAACACTTTTGCAAGAGAAAGAATGATTTTTCCTTAATAAGAGGAAGAAAAAAAAATGGTTATGCTATTAATTAATACATTAACTATCATGGATAACTATTACGATTAGAAAAAAAAAACAGACAATAGTTCGAAAACTTGATAAATAATAATGCCAAGGACAAAGGAACAATAGTTGAAAACCAAAACGTATTTAACCCCTGTACAATCATCACTTTCCCAAACGAAACTCGGTCCACTCACGCAGGACGCTAATGACTTCCGTGTCAATCTTGGTCGACCCCAGAGCCTGGTTGAGCGCGTAGCAATTCACCATCAGATCCGCGTCGATGGGCCGCACCTCGTACCGCGTCAGGTTGGTGATCGTGTTCCAGCCTCCGTTGGGCACCTTTTGCGTCCTGGACGTCGCTCCGGGGGGCGTCTGGCCGTTGATGACCAGGTTGACGTCCGAGGGCGGGTTCGAGTTCTCGGCGACGCACGTGATCGTGATGACGTCGCCGACCTTAGCTTGGCTGGGCCCCGTGATGGTCACTTTGGACGCGGCGACTGGCGGGCGGGAGGAGGGAAGGGGTTAGGTGTGGGAGATGATGGTGATGGAGAAGGGGAAGGTGTAGGAAAAGATGAAGAGAGAAGATGAAGTGATGATGAAGAATCTTGAATATGGCTTAGCTGGGCTCCGTGATGGTCACTTTGGACGCGGCGACTATCGGGGCGAGAGGTGGCAAAAGGTCAAGTGTGGGAGATGATGATGATGGAAAAGGTGAGGACGGAGGAGAAGAGGAAGAAAGAGATGATAAGGAATCCTGAATTTGGCTTCGCTGGGCTCCGTGATGGTCACTTCGGACGCGGCGACTAGTGAGGCGAGAGGAGCGACAATGAAGAGGATGGCAGAGAAAGACAGTAATAAACGTAAAAAATGTTAAGAAGAAATTATCCGTGAAGGTCTTTTTGAAGGAAGAGGAGGAGCAAGAAAAGAAGATGGAGAAGATAACAGAAAATGAGGAAATGAGGATGAAGCAGGAGGAGATTTAACGTAAGAAATGTATAGAAAAAGAAAAGAACAAAATTAAGAAACATATAATGGTAATAGTAATAACAAGCAAAGACAAAAGTAGGAAAGAAAAACGAACATGAAAGAAACAAAGTAAAAAAAGAAAGAAAGAGAGAGAAAAAAATAAAGAGGAGATAAAACACAAAGGAAAAAAGAGAGAATGAGGGCGAAACATGGGAAACAACACTACAGAAAACAATAACAATCGCCTGGGGGAAATAACTTGAGAAAACTCGGACTCTCATATGCTCAAGTTTCCAGGAAGTCGCCACAAAATTGAAAGATAAAAGGAAATAAACTTAATCTTATTATACGAAAAAAGGTGAACAGACAGAAAATGATAAAATGAAGGCAAACACAGAAATGGGTAAATGAAAATGAGGTAAAACGAAAAGGGAAAACAAATAATAATATATCCAACGAAAACAAAGAAACAAACAAAAATCTAAAAATCAACAAGAATAAACTGAAATCGAATCAAAACACTTACAATTAACTCTAAGGTGTATTTCCGCTTTCTTGGGCTGTGACGTCATTACATTCATAACATGGCATTCGTACTTAGCCATGTTGTCTGACGCATCCACCTCGAACTCGTATTCATTCACGACATAACTCTGGTGTTTGATGTAATTCTTGTCGACCTGCTGGCCATTCTTGTACCAGAAAACTTCCGGCAAAGGGTTTCCACCTCGCGCTCTACACGTTAGAGTTTTCTTGTCACCTGCTCGTACTATTTCGCCCTCTGTGTAGCCGGTGATCTCGGGGAAACCGGGCTCGTCTGTGTGGGCGAATGGGAGGGGAAAAGGAAGGGAGGGGGAGGGGAGGATGGGCGGAGATTAGAATAGGATGTTATTGTGTATGAATGTATTTATTTATTTAGCTATCTGTCTATCTATCTATCTTTCTGTATATTTATCTATCTATCTCTCTGTATATCTATCTATCCATCTATATATATGTAGATCATCATAATCAGTATGTGATTTTGATAATTATTAGAATAACAACAATTATAACTGCCATTACAAACAAAACACTACACAACACAAGGATCTATCGCAATACTCTTCACCCCCCATGTACCTGTGGAAATCCACGATCCTCCCACGAAACACAAGCATCCCATAACTTACACTGGACGTCGAGGGTGACTTCAGTTTCCATGCTCGTGCCCGTACGTTCAAGGGCGGGATGGATAGCTCGACATCCGTATCTCTTGCCATTGTCCGTGTGTGAGAGTGTGATCGTAATGGTCGAGCGAAGGTCCATGAGGTGGCTGTTCGTCTCCGATTCTGACTCTGCGGTTGTGGTTGATTCTGTTGGAGGGAGGGGGAAGGGGGAGGGAATAAGGAGGGGGAGAGAACGGGGAGGGGGAGAGAGAATGGAGAGTGGGAGAGAATGGAGAGGGAGGAGAGAATGGGGAATGGGGAGTG